GTTGTTCCACGATCCGCGATCGCCGCACCATCGGAACGATCAATTCAGCGTGTTCGATTCACCTCCTTCCTCTATCTGCTGCAAACTTCCGCGGTTAGGGTATTAGGAATGGGTTTGTTTTGGCAATTTTACGATTTTACCCCTTATTCGAACGATCCTCGGTGAATAATAGCGATCCGCAGAGGGTTAAATGGATCCATAGAGCCACCTCTGCGGAACCATGATACCCACCATATTTTTTGTCTTTCAGTCATGTCACGTCATTTCCTCGTGACTATTCCTCTTTCCGCAGAGGGTTAAAGGGATCCGCAGACCCCCTTCTGCGGAATTCGTGGTCATTTTCCAAAACTCACATTTTCATGGTTAAATTGTTAACACCCCCCCCCCCCCCAATTTTGGTTATTTGATGAATTTTCTCTTTAACTCCATCACCGCAAAGCACCCGACCCACAATTGGATGACCTCTGTCACTCTGAAACCCAACTTGAGCCCAACGCCGGTGTGGCATGGGGATAGAGCTGTTGTTCAACCTTTGACTTGGGGATTTTTTATTCTTAACACGTTGCCTTTTTTGGGCTGAAATACCTGGCTCAAAATCTCGGCTATTGGTCATATCTATTGAATTTTGGTTGTCTATCGGCCCATGACAATATACATATGGGTAATTTTGGTTTAGGGAGTCAAGAGGGGTCCGACCCATCCCTCAGGGATCCGGTGATGCCGAAAGTTCCGTCATTTGGGACGAAGCGAGGAATTAATTGTGCCATCATGTTGTGGGTACGGTGCTAGTGGCGGAGCTATATGGGGCGTTGGGGGTACTACAACATCCCCAAATTGTTATATATATATATATATATATATATATAATAAATTATTTGTAAACTTGATCTAAGTTATTGTACCCCCAACTAACGGGATTGTATCATGTTTTGAATATTGACGGTGTTTGCTCCTCGTATCAAAATTCCTGGCTCCGCCACTGTAACAAGTGCTTTGTGAGAGGTCATCTGTTGGGAAATGGAAATCCCAATGGATATGATACGAAGAAAATGAAGTCTTTCGATTTGAAGATGTTGTACCACGTGATGCAACCCCTGTACCCTACGTGGCATTTGGTTGTCCAGAAATTATGAACGTGCACAATAATAAATATATGTTGGTTAATTAATTTCACATATAGGTGTACATAAATATATGTTGGTTAATTAATTTCACATATAGGTGTGCAGAAAATCTCAACATAATTAATTTACAAGTTGACCGGGGTTCCAGGGCCGGTGATAGGCAGGGGCAATATGAGCATGTGCACAGGGCTCATTTCTTTCAAGGGCCCTAATTTTTTTATGCTACTTTCTGCTAATCGACTAACAGAATCATCAATTCATCATCGTCTTCGACCAGTCCACCACACACCACCACCACCACCAGAAGTCATATTCCAAAATCCAGTCGAAAAGATAACCTAATTAGAAAAACCAGTTCCAGTTACGCCTTCTGAAGCCTGAAATCAGCGATATTCTTGTAAAAATTTTCTATTTTTCTTTTTGTTCCAGTTTAGTAGCCTTGAATCGGATATTGGGTTTTTGTTCCAATTGGCAGCCTTGAATCGGAAATCACTATAATCAATAGTAATTAGTAATGTTAATGTGTATCAGTTTATCACTTATCAGATTATGATTATCACTTTATCAGAAATCTGAAATTATAATTTCTGTGGTGAATTCATCCTTAGCAGATGCCTTTGGTGATTTCATGAAGTGAGTTAAGGCAATAGCAGCTGCTAAGCTAAACATCGTACAGTTGTTGTCACAGAGGGTTCTAACCGATGTAATTACTTATTTACCCTAAAGGAATACAAACGGAGTGATCAGTTATATGTTATATTGATTATGTTTCATGGTGATTTTTTGCAGAGGGTCAACTTGGTTATACTTTTGTTGATAGTCAAGCGGCCCTAAGAAGGGTTAGCCCATTAAGGTCAAAGATAGTTGCTATTGCTATAGCAAACAAACATACTGTTGTTGTTTTTGATTCAGGTGATGTTTTCACTTGGGGCTGCAATAAAGAAGGTTAACTTGGTAATTAAACTTCAAACTCAGGCTCAAATTACACCACGAGGCTAGTTGAGTATTTAAAAGGAAAAGTTTTCATTCTCGTGTCAGCAGCCAAGTATCACATTGTTGTTTTAGGAGTCGATTGAGAGGTACCTTGTTAGAAAATTGAAAAAAAAAGAATGAAAATTGTTGCAGGGAGTATTATTTTCTAGGTTTTATTTTCCTCCATGTCTTGCACTCCTTTAATGTTTCACCGGTCAGAACAGCTTCATGTGGTTTCAATTGCTGCAGAGATGATGCATATATAGCATGGCTCTTACCCATGATGGTGCATTGTTCTGTTGGGTGTCTTCTGATCCCGATCTTTGATGTCAAGAGGTCCATCAATCATCATCATCATCATGTCTCTATTATTCCCTGTTTTTTTGATGTAGTTATACGGACTTTGTGGGAAAAGTATGGTTATAGCGTGTCTGCTGGAAAGTATTGACAGCTGGAATTACAGCATCCGGTGATGCAACAAATAGTAACATACTTTCACTTCATTTCTTTTTTGGTCATTAGACTTTAAAAATTGTTTCTGAAAAATTTGTTGTTATAAAGATTATCGTTGTTTTAAAAAAAACTTTAATTTATATAATTTAATTTGTTACACGTTAGGTCCTAAGGGTCTTTTTTCTGGCTCGTCCCGGACATTTGAATCCTCAGGACCGGCCTGCCGGGTTCCTTTGCAAGTTATACTGTATTACCCCATAATTAAGTTGTATATTATTATTATTATTATTATTATTATTATTATTATATTTTTTTTTCAATGTAAAAAATCGTTATCGCCATCACTATGTTCCTCATAAATTGGCATCTCTAGTTCAAACTTCAACGTGCTTGAGTTGAATGACTTGAATCGACATGGTCTAGCTGGGTCCAAATTTCCGGGCAATCCATTATTCGGCCCACTCTTTGTTTGTAACCAAGAATCAAAAGTTATCAACATTATTTATATGGCCCAGTTCCGTCGAAACATTCAAGCAATTTATTATCCGGGCCAACTTATTGAAAGTAACCAACAATCAAACCTTATTTAAGTAGACCACATGACATCTATACAGACCACTACTATACTACATATACATTGTATGATAAAAACCGTTTTTGTAAATTTCTTTTAATTTATATGGATCTTTATAGTATCCGGAATATTGTTAATAATAATAATAATAACATCGCTTTTTAAAACAATAATAATAATAATAAGTATAATAATTTTAAGTTATGATTTTTTCTAAAATTAGATTCAAAACTTAGTGTTTTTATTGAAATGAAATGTAATGATAACAAACAATTGGGCTACCCCAGCGGAAAGATGTTATCGGTTCAAAGGACGTAAGTAAGGTGATAGAAAATGTTACCTAATTAATGTATTTTTTGAAAAAAAAAAAAGGTTAATTGAAAATGTAATAACTTTGGTGAAAACAAAATTAATGTAATTGCTTTTTAATAAAAACAAAATAATCTTATTAGTCATTAGGCTTATGAAGTGACATGGGAAGCCAGCTAAAAATTTCGGCTCCTGTCTTCAATTTGAGCCGATCGGTTTGGCTGTTCTGCATTTGTTCCCTTCATCTTTGCCACGTGTTGTTCTTCTATATCGAATTGCTGTACAAAGTTTTTTCCCTATTTTTTCTTCCACTTTTCTGTGCGCCCTTCCGATTCTTTTATTCAGGTTTGTCTTCTAATCTTTTCTCTGTTGTTCTTCTATGTCGTTTAGGGTTGATTGTGTTGTATTATTGCGTTTCTCCTTCAACCTAAATAAAAGCTAAAAAAACGTGGTTCTTTTTTTTTTTTAAATTTCCATTTGAAAAAAAGATTGATATGCAAATACACGCGTGCGAAATAATTTGTTTTTGTGATCCACGTATAGAGTTTCATCAAAAAAATCATTTGGGAACATAATAATCGAGTTTTTTACAAAGTGATCGTAGTCATAAAAATTATTTACAAAAGGAATCTAAAGCAATTGGGCCCACATCCATCCCCCGTCTTCTCTCTTCTCATTCTACTCTCCATATCTTGTCCGTTGAGCAAAAGATCCAGTGTCTTCGTCCTTGCTGTTAACGATTCAGAAGAGTTGTTCAAGAAGCAGAAAAATCGAAGATTAGATGGCTTTTCAGGAGATACACAACTTTTTCTAGTAACCCATTTGTGATATGGTTTTCGTTTTTGCCAAGAAGCAGAAAAAATCGAAGATCGGAGAACATTTCAGATTTTCAGGCGATGTTTTACGATTTCTTTGAACACAAATGCTAGATTTTACGCTATACATATACTTGCAGAAAATTATTCAGTCTGGACCAGCATTATCAAATTTCGCAGTTCACATAAACAGAGATTCATGGAAGGTTTTCAATCACAAATTTATCACCCAATAGTGCTTTGTCTTGATGGTTTCTTTGAAAACTTCCCCAAAACTAGATCTATTTTGTGTTATTTGAAGGAAGAACGAGAAATAGAAAGAGATCTAGAACCTTCGAATTCCGATCGTCGGAGGAAGAACGGGATGGGGAAGACGGTTCGATTAATTAGTTGCAGCCTTATGGGGAAGGAAAAACCAGAAGGGAGGGTATATTGGTAATTTAGGTTTATCAAAAAGATAAATAGCTTATCTTTTAAATTTAAAAACACGAAAGATAGGTAATTGTTTTTTATGAAAACGCTATTAGTATAAAACTCCATAATAACGATACAAACATATTCAATTATTCATCACAATGTATTACATTGCTTCAAATTACTTTGTGTATACAAATTACACAAGTACTCATTTGATCATGTCTATCTTTTTATTCACCTTCAAAGATGTAGTTTATTCGAACATTAATCGGAAAAACACACAGAACTTCCATCCATATCCCTCTTAATTTGATCCATTTATTAGAAGTTGCAGAGCTACTCAGTTTTGCCATGGGCATCTATATCCTTGAGCATATGGCAAAACCAGTCCATAAAAGAAGTTGGATAGGGTACACTTGTGTCAAGCTTCTCAAACTCAAGTGTTAAAGTAATCACCTGTGCATCACCTTTTTTCTCAGTATGCAGTATGACTTTCATGGTCTTGAATTTATCATCCACTAGATCTCCTCCAACTAAATTGAACACGATCATATGGTTTTCCTCATTCACAGCTTCGATTACTGCTTTATCAATTTTCTTCTTTCCCTCTATATTTCATACCCACATGCAAAGACGTATATGATATATATATTTTTGATGAAAAAAAACTACCATGACTGTAGTGCCAATGGACGAGAGATCCAACAGTCCCTCGATCACCATCAACCAGTTCACAGGCATGAATCTTGTCAGGAGATATGACAGCTATCTCGTTGGGGTTGTGCGTAAAGAGATCATGGAAGACATCTCCCTTTTTACTAATCTCTACATAACCAATTAACTTTCCGGATAAAGCCATATTTCGATTATTATAAAAACCTGAAAGTTAATTGTTTACAAGAGAGAATTGATGAGTTTGTGTGAAAAATATGGCCGACAGCGTTGGCCTTATATAGATAATTTTGGCTGTCCGACTCCGACCCCAGCATTTTAGTAATTTTAGTTACACTTACTATTTTGAATATAAAATCCAACAAAATATGATCATTCACGTGGGTTGCTACATGCAAAGTGGTTTATGAAATTTATGAATTATATATATTAAAAGAAAAAAAGAAAACAAACTAAACTAATCTTGTGAAATCTATTTTAAGGAAGTATCAGAAAACATTTCAGTAGCACCTATCGGATTGGGTTTATGTATTGCTTTTGGGATTCCTATACTAATTAATATATACTAACTTCTGTAATGAGGGCAAGTTATTAACTAATTCACAAGGTGTTTGATGAAAGTCATCAAAGAGATCAAACGTCGTTCTTGAGGTGGAAGAACTTGTTGCGATTTATGCAGTTGTGTGAAGCGTAAGTTGTTTTTATGGAAGGGTTTTTATTATCGCATAGAAAATATGCATGGTTCTTCAATTGGTAATCGAAAAGTTTACGGGGAAGAATAGTTTGAAATAACAAAGGGTAGAAATACAAGTTCCAAATACCAATGACAAACAGAGTACAGAATTAGGAATCAAATAAACAGTTACAACAAATCAAGAAAATTGAACAACACCTATATTTGCTCAACTATCATCAATTAAGAAAGGGTCCTAATTCATCCACTGAGGGGTTTTATCCTTCCACTGAAAAAAAAAGAAAGATAGATTGACAATTATACCCCTGGTTTTAATTAATACTAATATTTACGATATGGAAAGTTCCTTCTTTTTTCCAAACGGTGAAAGAGAGAAAGATATTTTTTGTTTCCTCCGGCGCTTCTCCTTCGGTCGTTGCTTCTTCCTCCCAATCTCAAGCAGTAAGTTAAATTAAATCAATCTCCTATGTCTGACTTGAGTTTAGAACCATGGGTGATTTCTTATTCCTGTTAAACTTGAATGTGATGTCGTTAAAATTGACTCAAATGGGAATGGGTAATCGTGCTCGTTCCAGTGGCGCTACTAATCCGATAGGTAAAAAGAAGGCTGCAGACGTCGGTAGCAATGGAGACCGAACGTTCGTTCGATTTTTGCCATGAAAAAAAAACCCACAGTCGGTGGGTGAGGGTGGTGGCGGTAGAATCAACGGAGTTTTAAAGTACTTTAGGCAAACTGAACTGATTAACCATTGGTATTGGATGTGCAGAAATTCAAGACATTGATTACCGGGAGTGCCGATCAGTCAACCAACTGGCCAAGCTATGGGTTATTGAGAGCGGAGCACAGGTTTTCACTTTCAATTTCTATTCCCCTGCTAGAGCTATTGATTTTTCTTTTAGTGATAAGCTTGTTGTAATCACCACCGACCCTTTTATGGGTTTAACTTTTATCCACGTACAACGCATTGCTGGTGACCCTGTGAATAGAGAAAGCAACTTTAATGCATTGGTAATTGGTTTGTGTTATAAAGTGAAAATTTGTGTAATACTGCAGAGGTTGATGAATCTATAGTGGTGCTTAAGGGTCTTCAAGGAAGGATCAATATAGTTGTTTGGGGACCTCTGAAGAAGACCATCATTATTCATTAGTGATGGTGAAGATGTTGTGGTTCGAATTTGGGATACAGAGATACATTTTCTAGAGTAATACTTGTAGAATTTTCAAAAAATCTCTCAACAAATTGTTATATTATTCTTAGGGTATGTGAGTTTGGGAATTAAAAAAAAGGATTGATGTATATGAACTATTCTGCTTTATTATTTTTCTCCAACTTCTGGATACAATCTTGGTGAAGAAGATGAATGGATGGACTTTGTAAAGAAAAAGATTTTTCATGTTAAGGAAGGAGGAAAACTTTTTTTCATGGTAAGTAGTTTGTAAAAGAAAAAGATTTTTCTCTCTTAAATATTTATAAATTAAAACCAAAGGTATAATTGTCAATCTATTTGTTTTTCAGTGGAAGAAGAAAAACCCCAGTGGAAAAATCAGGTCCCATTAAGAAAATTGAAGAACAATGGGTTCACGTGACATTCCTAAATTACCATATGTATCTTAATTTCATTTTCAGCAACTTCTTAATTATTTCGCATTAAATACGAAAGGAGACATCTTATCTTATCGATCTACTAAATTTAATACTCATGCCCTTGATAATCAAATGCGTGAATCCCATTCGAATTTAATATGAAGAAAATCGAAGTATTTCATGATTGAAGCTGTCGTACCACGTGGTGAAACTTTAGTTGCCCAGAAATTATGAAGCTAATTGAAGTGATTGTTTTCCATGTCAGGATCAACGTCACAATACTAATTGGTCAATTAATTTTACAGGTTGACCTGTGTCATCCGGATCCGATTGAATCTCCAATACAGTAATCATCATGATTGTTTTCCATGTTGATGGGATCATATGTCTACTGGAAATTGATTCAGTCATAACAGTTTTTTTTTTTCATACATAATAATATTAGTTTTAAAATTTTGTATTATAGAATTCTATAAAGTATAAATCATTAAATTGTTGTGTACCAATTACTATCCTGAATTGCAGAAAAATTATACATATATATATATATATATATATATATATATATATATATATATATATATAATAATTTATTTTGTTTGTTCGCTAAAAAATATGTAGAAAAAAAAACTTCTTACCTTCCTACTAAAATTTTTCTTTTTATTTGATCTTGACTCTCTCTCTCTCTCTCTCTCTCTCTCTCTCTCTATATATATATATATATATATATATATATATATATATATATATATATATACACACACACACTAGTGGCATACCCGAGCCATGGAGCAGCGGCGAATAGTTTCCGAATAGCAATTAGTTTTCTTTCGAGAGGCTATTTAGGATATAATAAAAGTTTATTGTTGTTTTGGATTAAAAATATGTTATATTTTCGGGTAAAAATAGGTATTTTGCTTATTTTAGTTAAAACTAAAAGACTTTTTGAAATTACCTTTTCTTGTAAAATTCAAATTTTTAGTTGCTAAATCATAACAAAGTTTCGGAAATTAGAATAACTTTTTATGTTCTAGTTTAATTTCTATAAAATTACCAAGTACAACCAACTAATCAACGAATCAAAGGATTCATTTATATCTCACAAACAATCATATAACGCTATTCGAAAAAAATCCAAATACAAATTAATAAACTACGTTGCTATACATTTAAAATTACCATATTTCAAAATAGAACCAACTAATATCACTTGCTTGCTTTTTGTGTTTATTTTAAAGTGCTATGTTCAATATATTTTTCTGTTAAAAAAGTTGATAGATAAATTTTTGATGTTTTCAGCTTAGTATCCCTTATAGGTTCGGTCAAAGCAATGACTTGAGTGAGTAAGGAAGTAGGACCTTTTTACCCCGGACATATAAAATAATAGAAAACTTTTTATACCAAACTTTTGTAGTTTCAATGTACCAACATTAAAGTTTTTACACTAACTTTTTATAGTTTCAAGATGGGCTAATGGCATAAAAACCCTCAAATTTGCACGAAATTGGTGGATTTGCCCAAAGTTCAAATTTATGCCCGTTTTTGCCTTAGACTTGCATTAAATGGGTCGTTTTTGCCTATTAACCGGTTTCCCTTTAATCAAATGGTTACCACTTGCTTAGCTGAAAGGATCATTAACGTCGTTTGGGAGAAAACTCCAAGTCCTTATGAATGTTAAATTGTCACATCCTCATCCTCGCTCTATATCCCGATTACTTTTCACCTTTACCCATTTCGTCGACTGAAATTTTGTATACACAGAGAAAAGCTTTACAAAAGAGGGTTTTCTTGGAGATGATTAGGGTAAAATTGTTCTTCAAAAGGTAAGGTTTTTACATGTCATGATCTTGTTGTGTTTAAATTCAACATTTCTTGAAATGGGTTCCTAAACTTATTGTGTTTATGTAGGAGGGTGTAATGGCTTCATCAGACAAAGGGTACGCTGACCCCTTTGATGTCATACATGAGCCATTTTCTAGCTTGAGTGAAATGGATTTTGAACTCCATGACATTTACATGGACCACGAACCAGATGAAGAATTTGTGTCCTCACTTGATAAATGTAAGGATATCTTCCTAAATGCTCTATTAAGTGATGAAAACCTACGAAATTCTTGTATGGCTGATGAAATCAGAGCACAAGTGTACCATGCTACTGATTGGCAGAGTGATGAAGACGAACATGAGGTATTGAAAAACAACTATAGAATTCATGACCCAACCATCAAGTGGGACAAGATGGTACCAAAGCTTGGTGACGTCTTTGAATCCTCTGCCCAGTTGAAGTTTTGTGTTACCAATTATGTAACATCCATAAAAATCATGCCAAATTTAAACTTTTAAAATATTCCAAAACCATTGAATATTACAAAAGTAGTTTTCAAAATAGTTTAGTATCAAAATATCCCAGAATCAAATCATAAACAATAGGAGGCGTACGATCATGCCTTCGCCTTCCTGCGATCATCAGAAGTACCTGAAACAAAAATCAACCACTGTAAGCCCGAAACTTAGTGAGTTCCCCCAAAATATCCATACGCACATCAACATACATATAACACAAACAACATACTATGGTTCCAATCAACCATCGCGTTGGAATACCCCAGGCCCTCAACCATCAGGTTGGAATGCCAATCATACTATAGGTCCAGTCATTCTCGGGATGGAATACCCCAGGCCCACAACCATCAGGTTGGAATGCCCTCATATTATGAGCCCAATCATCCTCGGGATGAAATACTCATGGCCCACAACCATCAGGTTGGAATGCCCATGTCTGTTGGCTCTCGCACAAAACAGATGAGCCTCTACCACTAATCAACATGTGCACATATATCAGATAATCACATAACAGTCCGTAGACAAACAAACCGATCTAACCAATCATACTAGCATAACATCATCCTATCTACCAGGATACTGATCTACAGATCATAGCAACATAATACCATCCTATCTACCAGGTTACCAATCTAACAGCTCATACTAGCATAACATATCAGAATACAATAAAAAAGGTCCGACCTTGGTGCCTTAGACCCTTGAGCATAGTGAGGAAAACTCACCTCACAAATGTCGAACTGAAGTGATAACCTCAAACCCTCGAATCACAGCCACGAACTCCACCACCTATATTTGCCACAAGACCGCTCCCATAAATTCCAATTTACTAAAATACCCCCAGAAGTCAAATAGTCAACCCTTGGTCAAAGTCAAAGTCAACGGTCAAAGTCAAAAGTCCATGTTGACCCAACTCGTCGAGTGCAGCTAACAACTCGTCGAGTTCCGTAAGGGTCCAGAAGGTCATAAAACCCTCACTGACTCGCCGAGTTTACTACCAACTCGTCGAGTCTATGCATGTTCAGAAGTCGAGGAAACCCTAACTGGCTCGTCGAGTCATCCTGCTGACTCGCCGAGTTCATGCAGGAACCCTCAAGGCTAATCTTCATCGGACTCACCGAGTTGGTCATGCAACTCGTCGAGTCTCTTCAGTCCTTTCTCCATTCAGATGCTTATAAGCCACCCAAAGCTCCATATTGCAGATCTGAGTTCCTAGAGCATACTTCCTACGTAAAGTTGCAAACTTTACGTACATGCAAGGTGTTAATGGCCAAAATCAAGCTAGAGAAGATGTTCTTAGTGAGGGAAAGGCATTATCTTGCTAAAGGCTTAAACTTTATGACCATAAGAACCAAGATGAGCCTAGATCTGAAGTTGCAACTTCAGATCTTGCCCAATACCCGAAATGAATCACCAATCATGCTAGAATAGCCCTAATCTCAAGCATGAAGAGATTTAGATAGAAGGAAGTTCAAGGTAAAGACTTGTTACCTTCAAGTGATGCTAAAATGGAGTAGAGTTCAGATCCTCAATTGTTCCTTGCTCAAAGCTTCTTGATCTTAAAGCTCCTTTCACCAAAATCCACCTTCCAAGCTTAAAATCACACAAATATAGAGAGAAAACGTGGTTTAGGGTTTCTGGGCTCAAATGGGGATGTAAGGGAGGCTAATGATCCTTTAAATAGGGTGAAAAACCCCGGAAATTAGGGTTTCATCCTCCAGCTCCAACTCGTCGAGACGGTCCTCCAACTCGTCGAGTTGGTCACTTATAACACGCGACCAAATCCATGCCTACTCGACGAGTCAGGGCATCCAACTCGTCGAGTCGACCTTTCAAATGGAAATATAAGACTGAAAAGTTTATACCTGAGAGTCGGGGTGTTACAAACTATGTTGTCTCACATGGTTATAAAATATACTTTGAAAAATGTGATAGTAAAAGAATTGTAGCTAGATATGGCAATAGGAAGGAGGAGAGTAAATGTCATTTCATACTTTATGTTGCATGGATGTACAAGGAAAGATTTTTTCAGATCAAAGTTATGAATGCTGGCCATAAATGTTTTAGGCAGTTTAAGTTTGGATCCATTGTTTCCCTTGAATGGATTGGAAAACATGATGTGACTGAAATTGCAAATAAGCCAAAGATGAAACTTCAGGAAATGATTGATGACATCAGAAAAAGGTATAGGTGTATGGTATCTATATGACAAGTTAGAAGGGCAAGGAAATCGGCCAAAAATTTAATAGAAGGTAAACTCACTGAGCATTATGCAAGGATATGGGATTATTCCCATGAATTGTTAAGGTCAAACCCAGGGTCCACATGTCAAGTTGGTGTAACAACCAATCCAGATGGAAAGAATTATTTTCACAGGTTTTACATTTGTTTCAAAGCATTAAGTGTTAACTGGAAAAGAAGGTGTAGGAGAGTAATTGGGCTTGATGGGTGATTTCTAAAGGGGCAGGTGAAGGGTGAACTGCTAACAACCATTGGTAGAGATGCCAACAACCAGGCCTATCCAATTGCTTGGGTTGTTGTTGATGTGGAAAATAAGTCGTCCAACTGGACTTGGTTCCTTGAGCTACTCAGTGGTGATCTAGACCTTATTGATGGCAGGGGCTTGGTAGTTATATCAGATCAACATAAAGTAAGTTTCTTTATAAAATATTAATCCTTTTCAAATTACTTATAAATACTTACATGTATGATGGTTTTTGTATAGGGTTTGTTGCAATCTGTTATAGATATATTGCCACCTGTGGAGCACATGCAATGTGCCTGATGCATATATGCAAACTTTAGAACAGCTTACCCTGGGTTGGAGTTCAAGAAGTTATTTTGGGCTGTAACTATGAGTTGTCTGGAAGGGGATTTCAAGAGACACATGGACACAATTAAAAATCTCAATTAGGGTGCATATAAGCATCTGATGTCCAAAGAACCCCAAACATGGTGTATAGCTTACATGAGTACAAGGTATGCATGTGAGGTGGTGGAGAATGGTATATCAGAGTGCTTCAACTCCATCATTGTGGATTCTAGGAAAAAAAATTAATCACAATGCTTGAAGAAATAAGGATATACATCATTAATATATTTTCTCACATGATTGAGGAAAGCACTAAATGGAATACCCGTATCTGTCCAACAGTGTTAAAAAATATGAAGCTTTTTAGGAAGAACACGAGGTAACACTCTAACATGTAACTTTTGTTTCAATTTCATTAGGTAACACTTTAACATACTACCACTAAACTTATGGATGTAGGTTTTGGTTAATAATTTATAGTCAACAACATGTGTTTGAAGCAAGGAGAGGATGTGATAGCTACATGGTGGATTTGGATGGAAGGCATTGTACCTGCAGGTTACGGGATATGGATGTGTTCATGCCATTGCAACCATCAACTATATCCATCAAATGTCTGATGAGTATATTGATGACATGTTTTCCAAGGAACAATTCCTAAAGTGTTACTCTGCTAACATTAGTCCAGTGAATGGTTCAAATCTGTGGCCTCAAACTGAATTCATAAATCCCTTACCACCAATGTCAAGGAGAATGCCTGATAGGCCAAAGGTCAATAGAAGGAGACATGTAAGTGAAAATGATAGAAGAGTACACACCCCAAGAACTGTAAGGTATGGTAACTGCTTTGAGTACGTCCATAACCATAAGGGATGCGGGAATTCAACCAGGGAACTTGTCCCTATGCCACCAAATAAGAGAGGAAGGCCAAGGAAGGAACAATGTGAACCCAGTCAAGCATCATGTGATAGGTCTAAGAGGCAGGAACCAGTTCCTATGCCACCAAAGAAGAAAGGAGGGCCAAGGAAAAAGGTCCAATCTAACCCAAATCAAGCATCAAGTTCTAAATCTGTTAAAAGAAAAAAGAAGACGGGTATAAAAAAAAGGGTGGTGGTATTGTGGAATATAGAGTTCTAGTTGATGAGCATGATGGTATAGATGGTCATGTTGAAGGTAGGGGCTTTGAGGAACAAATGAAAGATTTGTTTGACAAAGAAGATATTGATGATGACAGTGTGGTTGATATGTTGTGCACTTTTGAAGCTGCTATTAGCCAACCAAAGCATAATAATGAGAAAGGTGATGGATTCCAAGATGCAATGGATTATATTCTTCAAGGTATTCTTCATGGTAATGATGAAAAATGTGTTGAGGATGTTGAAACTTCCATGACAAAAACACTTAATGAGGTTGGAGATGCAATGGTGTAACATCCCGGAATTTGCAGGTATTTCCGAATCCTCCCTTTTATTAGTATTTTGTCATTTTTAGTCCTTTGGGATGGAAGGGTGTAGCCATGAGATGCCCTAATGGCTAATATTGTAATTTTGAATCAGGAGGAGTACGCTGCGCGTACATAAAGGTACGCTGAGCGTACTAGGCGGGCCCTAGTATGCTGGGCGTACTCACGTCAGGTGGAAACCCTAATATTTAGGGTTTGGGTGGTATATAAGTATCCTTATGAGATCATAACCCTCTACCATTTCAGCCTCCATAGTCTTGAGCCGTTTTCCCCAAACCCTAACCTCTCTCTTGAGTGTATGATCTAAAAGTGTGTGTTTTGAGTAGTTGAAGAAGAAGAAGTTGCATCAAGGTGTTGGAGAAGGAAGGAAAGCTTGAAGATATGAGATTATCTTGTCCTCTAGAAGCTCCAGGAGGTAAAAAGCTTCTACCTTTGTGCTTATATGATGTAGATCTTGCCTTGATAGCTTTATGACACCTTTCTTGTCCCAAAAAGTCCCAATATTGTGCATGTTATGTTTTGGACATATTAAGATGTCCTTTCAAACCCTAGGAAGGGTTCTAAGTGATAAAACTGAGGTCCCAATGGCTAGAAGTGTCCCATGCAAGTGGTAGAAAGGTCTTAATGGATTAAGACGCTGCATTAAGAACTTTCTGGACGTTTAAAGTCTTAAAGTTTGAGACTTTATGGTTCTAAGACACATTTGGTCGATGGATCTGGAACTTGGGCTTAAGTGCTTAAGCCATTAAGCACTTATTTGAGTTTTGAGTACAACGAGGGTACGCCCCGCATACGCAGTCAATGTCCCCGCTTTCCAGTCAACGTGAGGCTCGCGTACGCCCCACATAGCTTCAGAGTACGCCCATCGTACGTCTTTTGTTGGGCTTTTGCGATTTGGGCTTCGGGTTTTGGGCCATCTTTGGGCCAGTTGGTTTGGACCCCTATTGGACTTTCTGAATAGTAGTGTCTTGGGCCACATATGGAAATGGATCTTAGGATGAGGCCCGATTAGAGAGTTTGTCCCAATTTAGAAAATTAGGCCAATTATGGGCCTTGTATATTGGGCTTTTGGATTAAGGAATTGGAGTTGGGCCTTGGCCCAACTTAAGGAAAGGATAGAATGGACTGTTACCATATGTTTGGACCCTTAGCCAAGATTGGTATTCAACTGTTGAATTAGTGTTCATTTATTGTGATAGTTTGGGATTCTCGGTGAGTCAGCAGTCAGAGATTTCAGTACAGTTCGACATTGTGAGGTGAATTATTCTCACTATATCAACAAGGTCTAAGGCACCAAGGCCAGCCCTTTTTGGATTGTATCCTAGTTATAGGATGATGTTATGTTTAGTGATCTGTTAGATCTGTATCCTGGTTATAGGATGATGCTATGTTTAGTGATCTGTTAGATCGGTATCCTGGTATATAGGATGATGCTATGATTAGCGTATGATATTTATGTGTTTGATTGTGTGATTGCGGGTGGGTTGAGGCGGTCCTGCTTCGTGCTCTAGGCCAACAGAACCAGGGCGGCCCGGATAGACTAAAGGCCCATCGGGGCGTACCAGTCAGGCCGAAGGCCCGGAGAACGGTCCAGACAGGCTGAAGGCCTGGTAGGGCGGACCAGACATGCTGAAGGTTCTGAGAGTGGGCCAGATAGACTGAAGGCCCGGTGAGGGCGGTCCAGTCATACTGAAGACTCTATATGCATGATGTTTGTTGTGATATTGTTCTGGTTTGTATGACGTTGGTATTTTGGGGGAACTAACTAAGCTTCGGGCTTACAGTTTTGCATTTTTTTCAGGTACTTCGGATGATCTCGGAAAGGCGAAGGATTGATCGTGCACCTCCTCATATTTTAGGACTTTGATTTATGGGATTCTCTTATATGAAACTATTTTGAAAACATTTTGTAATAACTATTGGTTTTTGGATGTTTGAAAAAGTTTTAAATTTGCATGAATTTTATGGATGTTACAAGTTGGTATCAGAGCCTTGGTTTAAGTGAATTGGAGGAACACTCGTGTGAATCCAGTCTCAAACTAAGGAAAAGATTTTCAAAATGATTTTCAAATGGTTTTCAAAATACTAAAGGATGATGTGATGTGTACGATCAGCCGGAGCCAGTAAGTAGACCCCAAAATACCATACGATTTATTTGATATTGTGATATGTTAGAACAACATGCTAGTGATAGGCTAGGGATCTTCAGGAATTTCATGATAGAATTGCATGATTATATGATGCCTGTTAGCCTAGGGTTTTCCTTATATGAAATTGACATCATTACTGTAGTTGCTTAGTGTATGCATCACGGTTGTATATAACTAAAATCGTATAGCCTGAGAATGTTTGGTTTGGTATTATTTCCTGTTCTTGTCTGATAAAGGGCTTAGGGTAGGATCAGATATTTGAATGTCTATAGGGTCCAGTGTTATGTATGGCTAGCATACACAAATGCTGCAGGGTTGGTGGAAGTTTCATGGATGAGTTGTGTGGGGTCAGTCGACCAGTTGAGAGATGTTTAGCCTTCCTCTAGGAGTGAGGATTGAGCGCTCGCCTATTCTTATGTATATTGTTAGGGCGTTGTGATGATCCTTGAGACAAATATGGGTAGGTGTGGAAGGTAGTATGTGCCCGTACTACTGAAAACACAGGACCCATACGCGTAGCAAGGAAGTCACAGCCCCTAGGGATTTGTTGGGAGTTGGTTCCCCGTTATCATATGTAATGTTTGATATCTTCCTGGTATATTTCCAGCATGGTAGTTACGAGGCGATATGTGACCGGATTCGGGTCGGGATCAGGAGATGGCAGTCAGGGTGGACCAGCAGTGCCCGAGACCATTGGTCAGATGAGACCAGATGAGTTGGATGTCAGGATTAGGGAGATCTTGCATGATGAGGTTGCTACACTTTTTCGGGCTCATTTACCGGAGATGTTTGGGTCTATCAAGACCGCTATGGTAGTGTATTTTGATGAGCGCTATGCATCCATTACTGAGATGGCTGTCGTTGTAGCTTTCGCAGCCGTAGCAGCTGCAGGTGGTGGGGCCAGTTGGGCTTTCCAGTACCGGGACTTCGATAACACAAATCCCCCGACTTTCGATGGGATTCAGGACCCGATCATAGCCATGAGGTGGCTATCTGACGTGGAGGGATGTTTCTTCACATGCTCATGTCCTACTGACCAGAAGGTCAGGTGTGCTCTGAACCTGCTGAGGTCCGGAGCGAAGGACTGGTGGAGATTGATGACGGGTTCGTATTCTGATGAGCAGAGAGTTGCAATTACTTGGTATCAGTTCAGGGAGATGTTCCGTGCTCGCTATATTCCGCTGGTTGAGCGAGAGCGGCTGGCACAAGAGTTTTTGGATTTGAGACAGGGTACGGAGTCGGTGACGGAAGTCAACCGGATGTTTACTGAGAGGGCGATGTTCTGCCCGGAGTTTGCTTCCGATCAAGCTCAGATGATACGTTATCTGAGCATGCTCAACACCGACATCAGACAGTTTGTTGCTACCCAGCGTTGTGATACATTACTGGAGTTATAGGAGGCCGCTAGGCGGCGTGAGCTTGAGATTGAGCTGCAGTTGTGTAACATCCCAAAATCCAAGGCTAAAAATTTCATTTTTAATTTAATAAATCATTAAACAGATTATTAAAAATATCATTGAGTTATCCCATATCATAAAAAAACCCATAAGTCATATGTCTCAAAACAAGTCATAATAATTTCAGAGTACAAATCCCAAGAACATCATAGTGCGGAAAATAGTGGTGTGATGCGCTGCAGTCATGCCGACTCCTTTCCCTTCGAAGAAGAAGTACTTGAAACCAAAATTGAAAACCGTAAGCACAAAGCTTAGTGAGTTCCCCCATCATACCACATACCATATAAGCCCATAATGCCTAACATATCTGGGTGCTGGCCTCCCCTTCGGTCTCTTTCAACCGGTAACTGCCTAGCATATCTGGGTGTTGGCCTCCCCTTCGGTCTCTTTCAACCGGTAACTGCCTAGCATATCTGGGTGCTGGCTTACCCCTTCGGTCTCTTTCAACCGGTAACCGGGGACTATTTCACCCATACTACTACCACATAATACCCTAGCATATGCATATAAATCATATACTGCCTCGCATATCTGGGTGTTGGCCTCCCCTTCGGTCTCTTTCAACCGGTAACCGATGACTATTTCACCCCCTCCCACTACCACATAATAACATAACATACTAGCACATAAAGCATAACAGATATTGGCATACCAGACAATTATCACAAAGACAGTCATCTCAACTATAATCAATACTAGTGGGCCGACATTGGTGCCTTCAACCCACCCCTACTGGAAGGTAACTCACCTCAAATGCTGCGTAGTAGCTGAACTGTCATCGGCTCTGAAATCTGCCCCATTCAAACTCAAAACAACGATTCGACAACAAAACTATCACCACCAACAACAACCAATGTACCAAAACATATTAGCCACAAAATCAGAGTTGGTTAGACACACAAGTGAAGCACCAAGTTCACGCTTGACTACAAAAACAATAATATAACCAACTCAAACAATCCACATTATCAAGACTTGTTAAAAAACTCAGAATGCAACACAATGTTCTCCTGGAGACAAGCTTCATACTTCGCTTGAACAAGCGTCCCCTGATTTTCTAAAGATGTTACCTTGGCCGCAGCATCCTGATAACGTGTTGACAAGTCAGCATACATTTCTACAACTTTCACCAACATTTCCTCGCTTGCAAGGTTCATGGCTTCGGTAGCACGTACATTCACCTCCACGACCAAAAACCGATCTCGCAATGTCAACAACACATCAAAAAATTGGAAATCTCGCCCAAGCACGGAAGAGATAATTTTCTCTGCACAAGCTATAAACCGGCATGCTTCATTCAACTCCTCCTCGAACAACACACAAGAACGACGCCCACCTACGACGTTGGGAAAGCAATGTTAAAAAGAACAAAGTAATCACATACAATGCACAACATAGACACAAATGAGTGACGCACACAATACAACTACATTCAAACCGGTTTGAGGGCCACATGACCAAACGACAAGGGAGAGGCGCATCAAGGACCAACATGGGAAATCACCTGGAGAAATTGATCAGGCAAAAGAACCCGCCTATGTTTTCGGCTAAAGGAGACACCTATGGGGGACACAACTCCCGCATAGCTAGAAGAGCTGACCTGTGCAGAACCGATCACGGGACAAGATGTATCCAACAACTGCTCGATAGAGAAAGCATCCGACCCAAAACCCGGGAGCGCAAGAGGCGACCCGGGTGTCACAGTCACTTGGTCCACCTTTTGGTCTGGAACAACGTCATCCACCACAATGGACTCGGGTGGGATATCACCAGCCAAATAACCCGTCAGTTGGAAAGTGCATTTACTCCCATCTACAATAATAAATGAGCATAGAGAAAATATAAAAAGGTAGCATTTATATATCAGGAGATTACCCACAACCAAGGGATGAAAAACAAAGGAAGTAATGCTAAATCTAGTAAAAAGGTTCGAAAAACCTACATGACATACAGATAATACTGGTAGTTAACCACAGGCTTTCCAGAATAGGCTCATGTGACACAGGGCAAGTACAACTTCTGGTAGAAACGTTATCTTTACACAGAAATGCGAAAACAAAGGAACAAAACCAATAAGATCAAAAGACAAATACACCGAGCCATCCCCAAGTGAAACATAGCATGGGACAAATGGGAAACACAAGCTATGTATGTCAACCCAGCAGAACCTACTTTTCCAGTTTCCATTCGAACAAGCCAAATCTGGAAACAGAGGAAAGTAGCGACTGTTGAAAGAAAACCAGTCACCATACCTCTTCTAACGAAACACGGAGACATCAAGAGGTATCTCATGAGAAACGTAAAATACTTAGAAAGTAACAATATTGGACACCGCATTCGGACACAGTTGGACAAGATGAACTTTGAACAAACAGAGAACCTCTAAGAAAAAGCGAGACGGAGGTAATCGCAATCCACACATAAGATGTCGAAGATAAAATCCAACTTTACCAGGCAAAGCATCAAGAGCATAAGAAGATGAGTATGGAACCTGTAACCCAAGCACATGGGAAAGATAATACTCATGGCTATACCGCTCCAACATGCAGCAGTCCACTTTGGACGAAACTGCAGACATGTCATTACCCATCCCAATCATAGTAAAGGAAAAGTCAAAGAGAAGGCAAGTAAGGAAGTTTTTACAAGAACAATCAGGATTACCTGATAAATAATCAGAGGGACCGGTTAAAGCATTTAATGCGGGCAATCTAATCAAAGCAAGCGAGATGACGTGCGACGGTACAAGCATTTAATGCGCAGCATGCGAAGGATCTTGCAGTACCCGATATGGCTTTAAAAGTATGAACAGAAAAAATATTTCAACAATATCCTTTCACCCTTCAGACTGGGGGGCTTAATGGTGTACCAAGCCGGTAGTCCGAGGAAACCTACTGCCGACCCATTACCTACCAGGTCGGCTTTACAGGAATTGCCACCTGTTTCGGGAAAATATGTATTCGAACATACCGTACGTAAGCATCATAATCGTATCCCATAAAATATGTTGAACAATATTAAGCAAATAAAATAAGCAAGGAAAGGACACAAAGAAAGACCGCTCACAGACCGGGTAACAGGTGAAGGACATGTCTAAGGAGTGGGCTTTACTAACCATGGACGGCCTATAAATATCCTCGGGGGACATGCTAATAACGTAAGGAAAAAAAGACACATACTCTTTGATACAAAAGCAATACCGAAATATCGCATCCTAACTTAGGCATTGGAGAGCTATGCTGGGGTCAAGCCATCAGTATGGTTGTCTGACCTAGTCTTTGTTATTCTTATACGGAGTGAATTCCCGGACGCCTATAAGACGGAACCCTCCTGGGTGAAAGAGCCGGCCCATCATGTGCCTAGAGTTAGCTGTATCAACATGTAGCAATCCAAATGTTTGACTAAATATCTCAAAGTTACTTCAATGCCTTATTTGTCTACCTACTTAAGAAAACCTTTCAGTCGACTCACTTATTATACGGTCTTCCTCTTGATTGTCTATATGCTCTCTCTCAAGGTAAATACAAATAATAGCCCAATAAAAATGTTTTTGTGAATTTTTGTTTATGTGCTTTTTTTATGAAGTATAACTTTATTCGAATTACATCTATCCTACAGGTTTTCATTTCCTATAAGTACATCTATATGATAAGGTTGTTCAAAGAAGACCTAAATGTCATTTAATTTTCATAAGACATTGATTAAAGAAGTCACTAAAGATGCAGATGGTAATACAATTTACATTAGAAATAGATATAATGATCTTGCATTTGTTGACATACACACAGGTACACAATTCTCAAACATTTGATACTATATTGATTGATAAAACATGTCTCTTAGACAAGGGTAATTTCGTCATTACTTCCCCTTCCCAAGTACCTAATTTTTTATTGACATGACCAATAAATGAATGTTGACTTTTGTTTAATTCAATTTAATTTCAAGTTGTGAATTTTTTTTTCTTTTTTTGTTGGTTGAAATGCTTAATGGAAACTATTGGGATGCTCTTTTGGGGAAATGTTCTAGAAGCATAGATCAATAGTCAGACACTTAAATCTCCTATTAATAGCTTTCTGTGGTGAGTTTTTTATTTTTCCAAAGCCCTTCATATTTTCTTTTCCCCAAATCTTGATTAAAATAGACTTACTTCCTGATCGTCATGATGATTACCACACATTATTATGGTATAAGCGCTTATATTATCTCAAATTTTGGCTAAAAGAGTCATTTTTTACTAAAGTTTTTTTTAACTAAAATATGATGCAAGTTTGATGAAAATATTGTGATTAATATTTAGTATTACAAATACAAATAAGTTTTTGCCAAAATTGTTTTGAAATTAAAAGTTAATCGACTATGTTCATAGCATGTGATATTGCTAAAATGAGTCAAAAAAATATGATTAATTAGGTCAGTCATTTAAATGAATAATTGTAAAATAAGGATAACTATGATGTAAAAATGATCATATTTGATAAATGGAGTAAAAATCCGGACAATCATTAAAGAAGGAAAAATGAGCTAGATATGGAGTGGATAAGGAAGAATTTCAAAGATACCATAAAAGACGGGTTAGCATTGCGAAGGTGAAGACTTAGCGCCACTTAGTTTATTTTCCTATAAATACAAGATTTTCACCTTTCATAAAAGTGTGCAAGAAAAGAAACACTTTAAGGTGCAAAAAAATAACCCTTATTTCGTAGTAGAAGGCAGAGGAGTTTTAAAAGGTGAACTAGAGAAGAATTGTTCAAGAAATCTTAAAGAAAAGTATTAGGTTTGCAACGTTTATCATTATTATTATTTGTTTTGTTGTTTTCCTGTAAACATGAGAGGCTAATAACATTCTCTTCCACTTAAATGTAGATGAGCTAGAGTACTATGGTGTAATTATGATTTTAAAGTTATAAAGTTGATATAAAATTATTTTTTGATCAAATCGTCTACCTTACTTATTGAAGTTTCGATTTTTATTGTTGAGTTGCATATAGTTTAGACTACAATCTTATTATTTTGACTTGTATCTTGATAGTTTTTGCTATTAAACTATTAAGACTTGTGATTTAACCAATTCTAGGATTAAGTAATAATTATTGGTAACTTTAACATCTAAGAGAGCATTAGTTTAACAACTTATGCTAGGTTTAATTTTATGAATTAGACTCTTGATTTAATTTTAAGTTTGTTTTAAGTAATTAGTTGGTTTATAGGTTTCTAATTTTATAAACATTAAATTAGTTACTTATTAATCATAAAAATTAGTAATTAGAACATAATTAGTAGTATATTTGGTAAGCATCTTTATACATTGTTACTCTATTATATATTCATCATAGGAAATACGAATTCGAAGTTTAAGTGGAAGCGCTCCAGATCATTATCTTAACTTTAATATGTTCGTTAGTTTGATTTTATTTAGATTTCAATGACCCCTCCCACCTCCCTCTCCTAAAAAAATTATTTTTCGCTCAATTGATTTAGTTTGTTATCAGTCATACCTAACCCAAAGAGTTCTACACCTTTATTTACCGCAAATATATTATATGTGATCAGGTTCACTGTCTGTGTAAGTTATGTTTAGAAGTGTTAAATAAAGGTTTTATAAGCTTAAAACTTAAAGAATTTTTAGTATAAAAATCTCACATCAATTTTTTGACACCGTTGTCGGGTATTAGTTTTATTTGTAGCGGATTATTTTGATTGTGTAAACTATAATTAGGTTTTTATTTTCTGTTTTTAGCTAGTTAATAGATTCTCTGAATCTACGAATTTCACGCCGCGGAAACCAACCTATCGCGACACGAATATCGGTGATTTCAGATTCTATTTTATTTTTCATTTTGTCCAATTTTACACTTGTTTTTGGTTTGTTTTTATTTTTATATTAATAGTTAATGACCATAGGATACAGTTCCAGCCTAGCTTCCCCACTCAAAGAACTTGAGCGAGAACTGCATAAAAGACAAAAGGAGGTTGAGTTAGAATTTTTTTTTTTTGTTAAGTAGACGCTAACTTATCAGAAAATAGCTATCACAATTCTGAGGAGGATCAGAGCGATCAAGAAGATATGATGAACGCACTAACCTTGGAGGAATATGCTATTAGTAAGTGAGAAGGTACCGGTCCATGATTGACTCGACCCGCAATTCCGGCCACAACAAATTTCGAATTAAAGGATCAATTCCTAAACATGATCAAAGAAACTCCATTCTGTGGCAAGGATCATGACGACACCAACAAACACATTAATGAAGTTCTAGAAATTGCATACTACTTCAACATTCCGGTCTTTAAATTCTTATTCAAGCTACTATTAGCATTTCTAACATTTAAATACAACATTTTCTCAGAGAAAATGCAAATCACAAAAATCGAGTGAAACCTCACCAATGTTTAGCCCTATTATTGCAAATCACGAAAATAGAGTGAAACCTCACAAAATCTTTTCTGCAAGTTGTTCCCTATATTTCCAATAATTAATAGGGCTAATTTTTTTTGTATATCTTATAATTTATATCAATGTTTAGCGAAAAGAACTACTATCATCCGCTTTATATAGCACACTATCAACTTTACTTTCATAAATTGTGCAATAATAGTAATTGTGCTCTCTAATTTCTATCAAAACTTGTCCAAATATTGAGTAATTTTAATTATAACAGGCATGGTAAGTGATTTTGGAGTTAAAAAAATGGTGTTTTTTGGTCAGTATTTCTTGGATTTTAATTATATAGCACACTATCAACTTTACTTTCATAAATTGTGCAATAATAGTAATTGGTCATCAAACATCTTCCATGCGGAAATTTGTTAATAATATGGACATTTAAGTACAAATGAAAGTACATACCAATTTTAATGAAATACCCACAAATTAAATCAATGTTTTAACCATTTGGAAGTTCTGTGTAAATATTACAAAATTAGATGATATTTTTCATCATGATAGCAATAATGAATGCTTAACAATCTATGGTTCAACAACAGATTGTGCAAAATATACATAATATATTCATAAAATATCACATGAACTACTAAACAAAAGCCATAACATACTATGAAATGGTCTACAGATGATATTGCAACTTAATCAAATGCTAATACCAAAAAGAACATGATTACCTCACCTAGCCAAGATTTAAAAATATGTCTCTCCCAATTCATCTAATTCACCTACACAGAAGGAAAAACAAACTATTACATAACATAGAGGAAATTATTAAGTTTAAAATATCCAAATAATGAAACAATCAAATGAAGATAAATCATCTTTAGTGGAAGCCAAACCTGGAAAATTATGTGAACATATATATGCAAACACACACACACAAACTTACTTGCAGCACATACGAACATATATGTAAAAAATGCAAAAAAAATCGTTGAATTACCTTCGGATTTTTTGTCGGGATACAAACCTGGACCTTTTCCCATCTTTATTTTCCTGTTTCACCTATCTATCTCACCCTCAATCTGATGGTTCCTCTTTTTGTTTCCCTTTCAATTTTGTTCCTTACTAATCACAAAAAAAAAAAAACTGACAACTCTAGAAGTACAGGAAGAAACCCGAAATCAAGATCCTAAACAACAATTTCAATAATCAGAACGAACCTTCCCATCAATAAGAAAAAGCAAGAGATAGAATAATGGTGTCATGTCTGGATTCGGCGATAACAATGGTGTCAAGGGTCGTCGCAGTTTGGAAGTCGGAGGAGTGAGGAGGTTAATCAGGCGGAGGCGAAAGGCATCTAT